TGCAATGTGTAAGAATTTAAGGGATTTAAGAGTTTGAAACATTCAAAAATGAGCTAACATTACATACCCTAACATGCTAAAGAGGTAGCCTCAGCCCATACCGTCTCAGTATACCACTTTGTACATCAATAGGCGATAGTATAGCTTAGATCCCTTATTAAACAGCTCAATTAACCGTGAATTCAAGTTTCTCCCTTCCACCGAACTAATTGCCTTGTTAAAGTTTCAGTGTGTAAGTTTTAGTGGCATCTAGTGGTGAGGGTTGCGAATTGCAACAAATGGGTCACTGTGCACTCACTTGCCCCTCAAATGAAATAAGTACTTTACAATAAATGTTTTAATTCTAATGGCAATTGTAGATTCAGCAGTAAAAAAAATTACTTTGTACATTTTCTCCACAAGGTTTTACATTATCTCAATTTCATTTCTAAATTCAAAAACAGAAAGGCCGTGAAAACTGTCAATATGGTCCTCTTTTAATATCTTTATATAATATAGACTACCCCTGTTTGTGTCTTCTTATATATTTGTGTACTGTTCTGTATGTCTTTATGTCCCATTTACACTTTATACCTCTTTTGCAATAAAGATTTAAGGAGGGTTAAAAAAATCTGATTATTCCGACACAACATGAATGCGCCATCAGTCACCACTCTCCGTTTGCAAGTGCGTAGGAGAAGCTACAGTGGCGGACATGCTCTGTTGGCTCTTGTGCTAAATATTATTTGTGATCCTCCATTTGTCCTAATTTCACTTATCTTTTTACTTCTAACAAACCTAACGACTACTACTACTACTTCTGCTGGTTTTTCATACTTTTTCAACATACTTACGTCCATTTGGGCTACAGTAGAAAGATGGCGCGCAACATGGTGACTTCCATGTAAGGGGACCTGCTGGGTATGTAGATAGAAATGGCTCATTCTAAGGTAATAAAAACATAAAAGTTCATTATGTAGGGTCTTCATACCACTGAAAACATAGTTATGTATATGATATTACATTTCTGTCAATCAATCCTCCTAAACATTACACACTGAATCTTTAACTCATCGTAAAATACACTTCATCCAAAGTTGACAGAAGCAAAATAAAACTCACCAAAACTGTCTTGGTTAGTCTTTCCACTGTTTTAGCAATCACCACCTCTGGTATAGTCGAAACAAACCCTTAATTCACAGAGTTAGATGAGAAAATATTCTGGCTCTATACACTGTCACTGCCTCTCAGATGTCTGACCTCCCTTGAGGTCAGGCATTGTGAGTGAGATGAGAAGATCAATACCACTCTCATGTCTGTACTGTAAACAGCTAGCCTGACTCTGTCCAAAGTATATTTCATATGTTAATGTTAAAATTTGTGTAAAAACAACAGTGTTGTTCAAAATTCACTGCCTGAAGACTCCAGTCTTTATGCTATGCTAAGCTAACAGGTTACTGGCTGTAGCTTCAATCAAATACAAGTGAATATTTGACCTATGAACTTTTTTATGATTTTCTTTCTCTGAACACAGAATTAGACAAATAATGCACAGGACTTCAGCATTAAAGGCTTAAAAGCGCATTATGCAACCCTAGAGGAGATTTTGCAGAAATGTGTTGCTTTTTGTCTGACATATGTGAGCCCTTGGGGATTACCATTTCATAAGGAAGCCCATTTATTTCCGCTGAGTGGAAATATTTGCGTCAAGTTCACAAACGAGAATTAATGTAGGGGTTGTACTTCAGTTTCTGCAACAGCCCCCCCCCCCCCCCCCCCCCCCCCCAAAAAAAAAAGAAAAGAAAGAGAGAGAGAGATAAATTTAATGAGGTAGAAAGAGGCTGTCTTTGTTTTCTTACTCTCCCATCATTTAGTCTTACGCTCTTGCTCCCGAGGGCTTCATAGTGACAACAAGTTTCCTTTCTCTGGGCAAAGTGAAAGAATGACATGTGGTAATGGCTGCGTGTGGGTGACGTCTTCACCGCTGCTGTTATTTGATCGTGATGCTTTACTGTTTTTATGGCATTGCACCGATGCCATCATCCAGCTTATTAGATTTTTCTTCTTCCACCACTGCTGCCTCCCCACACACAGACGTCCAATCACACTGCTGCAGCCTGCCAAGCTCATTACACTGGGGAGCTCAGGCTCATTTACTCTCTCTATTGTGCTCTGTCTTATTGCTTTTTCTCCTCTCTGGATCACTCAGTTTTGTCCCTTTCCCCCAATTAAGTCTTGACTTCCATTTTTACTCTTTTATCCCCCTCCGTTTTCTATTAATACTTCCACCTTTGTGGAATGGTATTCGTTTTAATATAGTTGTTTATTTTTCCCAGCAGGTATGTTATGGGAAGATGCCTGTTGATTTGACAATCATCTGTGTAAGCCTACAATGGGGTCCATTGTACATTAGATGGCTGTGATAAACCCCAGGCGCAGTGCACATCTGTTCCTCCCACATACACAAACACACATGTGCACCACAATACAGTTACTTGGAGTTACGGTTGCTTTGTCATGTATTTTGAAGGCTGACATCCCACACATGTAAGGTCAACCGCGCGTTTGTGTGCATGCAAGTGCATGTGTGTATGTGCATCCAACACATTTCCATACTTCAGCTTGCCATGTCAAAAGCTGTTTGTGTCTAAGTGAATTATTATTCTGGCATTATATGTTATTCGGAATGGCAAAAACACAACAAGGTTAAACTCAAAAACTGTGTGGCCGAGTGTGAGTGTGTGTATGAACTCACTGTCCCTCAGGTTGTGGCATGTTGACAAATAATAGGCAGCAAGATGTGCCCTGTCTCCTCCTACTAGAAGTATTTAGCTCATTTAGCTCTTTCAAATCTGAAATTACAGAGTTAAACTTGTTAATTTAAATGTTCCCTATTTCATCGAAGGCTTCACATTGTAGGATTTTTTTTTGGTTTTCTCCGATTGGTCTTTGGAAAGCAGTGTTGTGTTGAGACTGGTCAGTGAGTCTGTCTGAAAGAGGACTCTTTTCTGGGCTCAGCTCTTGGGATTGGAGGACTTTTCAATTGAGGAAGTCTAGGGAGCGGCACTTAATGTGAGTGGTGATGGTGCAATGGGTAAGACTATGCTTTTGGCGTGAGAGACCCGGGTTCAATCCCCCATTGTGTCCCTGAGCAAGACACTTAACCCCTAGTTGCTCCAGAGGCGTGCGACCTCTGACATGTATAGCAATTGTAAGTCGCTTTGGATAAAAGCATCTGCTAAAACAATAAATGAACTGTAATGCTCCCTTTTGAAAGTTAATTATAAGTGGGTATCTGCCTTATTCTGCTCTACAAACATTTGTTGGTGTTTTTCTGTGTATATGTAAAATGTGTTTGTCCTGTCAGCTATGATGACTGACTGGAGCCCATACTTCACCACAATACAGCACAATGGGCTGGTTGACACTTTCAGTTGTTTTACTGCCATGTTAAAAACTCCCCGACGCTATCATGATTATATCAAGGTAGGTATACTCATACTATGTTCAATAATATGATTATTTATGCTAAACTGGTATTTGTTCTCCTGACATCTGGGACGTTTAGTGCCAGGGCCCACTTTTGACAGGACTTAACCGCTATGTCCAGTTGTCACTGTAATCCTTGTTCAGTAGGAGACAAAAAAAGGTAATCAGCAAAAAAAAAAACTTCACCAACTCTATGTAGGAGGGAAAGGCCAGGAGCAGCACACTGATCCAACTGAACAGCGAGATGATTTATATATACATTAAAAAAGCTGGACTTCAAGCCTATTCTCTGGTTGTAAAATTCAGTTTGTCTCCATTTTAACAGCACACATATTCTCCAAATACATTGATTTAAACAGATCCTACATTTTGTCCCCTAGAAACTTAGGTGTCATTTACACTGGGGACGCTGGGGACATGTCCCCACTATTTTTGAATTGGCTGATTTCATCCCCATCGCTTTTTGAAAGCATTTGTTAAAAATGTTCTATAAATAATAGCTTGCAACAAGAAATGTTAAAGAACAAATGAAATTGCTTTGAGAATTTTTTTTTGCACAACAAGAAAATATGCAATGCAATTTAAATCTAGAATAAACACGTGCATTGTCCAAGAAAGTAACTTTAGTGTCACGATCTGTCCATGACCAGTTTATTGGTTGGGGTTTTGTGATTGTTTTTGCCTGTCTCTCTGGTGTATGGTGTGGGTGTGGTCTGCAGGCACCTGGCTCTCCGGCATAGCTGCTGACAATCTGCCAATCAAGCACCGACCTGTCATACTGTGGGCGTGTCTGTTCTGCTTTGTTCATTTAGTTTCAGTCTGTTTAGTATCTGTTATAGTCTTTTGGGTTCTGTCCTGTGTCTAGTATCAGTTATATAGTCTGTTGTGTTTTTGAGTTTCTATGAGTTATTGTATTGTTTATTTAGTTGATTTTGGTTTCATGTCTTGTGTCTAGTGTACTCTGTGTTCTGGTTCTGTGTTCCCGTTTGGGTTTTGTCTGTTGTGATCCCTGTGTTATAGTTGGTCGGTGTTTGTCTGTTTACATGTGTTCTTTCTGTGTTGGCTATTTTGCCCCATATCTGCCTGTCAAGTGTTCCGTCTGTTCCCTCCAGTATTCCTCTGCCTGCTTGTTGTTCTGTGTTTTGAGTTCCTGTTGGATTCTTGTCTCATGTCCTTGGTCTTTTGTACCCTTTATGTCTGTTTTTATGTATTCATATTTCTGTTGGTATTTGTCTGTGGGCTTGTTGGTAGTTCTGTTAGTTTGGGCCTGTTTGGTATCTGTCTGTGTTCCCGTCAGTTCACCACCCTGCCTGTCTGTGTCTGTCTGCTGTCATTATTAGTATCACCTGTTTGTGCTCCCGCCCTCCTCGTTAGTCAGTGTTTTAAATGTGTGTGACTTCTGTTCAGCTGTACTGGTTTGTTGTGTGTTCATCCACTGCTGTGTGGCTTGCTTGCTTGCTTGCTTGCTTGCTTGCTTGCCTGCTTGCTTGCCTGCTTGCTTGCCTGCCTGCCTGCCTGCCTGCCTGCCTGCTTGCCTGCCTGCCTGCCTGCCTGCCTGCCTGCCACCAAGGTTGTTGGATTATCCTTTGTTCTGTCTTCCCCTGGATCATCTGTTTATGACTGTTTTTGCTGCTCTGCAGACAACCTTTGTTTGGACTCTGCTGTTAGTTCTGTGGGCTTAAATAAATACCCAGAAACTGTACCTGCTCTGCCTCTGTGTCCTGCGTTTGGGTCCTAAAACCTGTTCCTGCCAGCACACACGACAAATTGTGAATCGACCTAAATACCCTGGGCTCCTGACTGTCAACGCCAGATTGTTGTACTCACTTTAGTCGTAACTATGTGCAGCCAAACTCCTAGAGACTTCTAGTGAACTTCTTTGGTTTGTGAACAAACTTCTAGCAACATGTTTTCTCCTTTGTTTGCTTCAGTGCCTGGGATTCTCGTTTGCCACACCAAGCCGCCAATAGCTGGATCTTTGTTCAGCCACGCACTCTTCGACCCCATCAATCAGCTCCCGACTACTCTCCCCCACTAAACCCTCAGTGTTATCAGTAAAATCTTTGTGAGTTTCAACCTACAGTCTCTGTCTGCTCTTGAGTCCAGAACCACCTTGCACATAACATTAAGCAACCAAAAAAGCTACTGATTACTGCATTATATTTTGAATTGTCACCTGCCACCTGATTTTTATGTTTCCTGTCATATAAATAAAGACATTTAGACCATACATTGGTGCAGAAAATGTCTCCAGAATGCAGTAAATTAAGAGTTTGATGCTCAAAATCTTCTGGGGGGGAACCCCCAGACCCCCCACTCATATTTCAGCGTCAAACCTAGAGTCAAAAGCGTCCTTGAAATAATTTTTTTTAAAAGTGAATATCTCAGTGGTGAGGTGTTTTGGGAGGAAATAATTTTTTACTCAAGATGGATGTTTGTCAAGGAAATACTACAGAATAATTTAACCAGACAGCTGCTGACACAGATGCCATAAAGTCTGATTTGTCCCCACTCTTATGAATGGGGGAAATTAACCCATTGTAGCAGATGTCAGGAAAACATCCTCACATTGAACAACAACACTGCACCCTGCATCTCCGGGGTCATTTGAGCATCTAGTTTTTAATGTTGTCCGGACCACAAGTTTTCCTTTACTGAAGATTTTTTTCTGTGTTGTAAATTCTTGCCAAGTAAATGGGCAATCAAAGGGGTTTTGGTTGTCTATGGTTGTATGTTTGGAGTTTTCTTCTATAACACATTGCTCTGAATTGATTTGATTTATTGACATGTCTTTGTACAGATGTATATAGATCCTAATTGTAAGTGTATATTTGTTTAAAATGTGTTATGGCTGGGTCATTTGGTTGGTGATGTTTTTCCATCACCTATTATTCTCAGCTGTTTTCTTATTGTCTTGCAGTCTTGATCAAACCATTTGTAGTTATTTGCCTTCTAACAAGTTTCCATTTTTGTTTTATATCTGCCATCTTATTCACTGCCAGTAAAGAGCACCTCTGTGATTCCACGCTACTTGTATTTCTCCTTCACTGTTTGAGTCTTTCATTGGGAGATTTCATTGGGGGCAGTGGGAGAGAGAGTTCTATACACTGGCACATTCAAACATACTGGACTCCAGGCACTGTGAAGAAGGTGTGTAGTGGCCGTTTGTCAACAAACAAATTAAAGTTAAACTTAAATCAAACCTTCAAACGACAACTTCTAGCACCCTGGGCAGGTAATGTACGCAGGCAAGAAATAAAATCAAATTCAAACTGGATTCAGGGTTTGTGGCTGGTTTATTTGTTCCAACTGAGCAAGCAATACAGCATCTCTCACGCTGGTAAAAACCATGTGCCCATCACCCAGGTGCTGCCGCTCACTTCCTACTTCCTACCTATATTTACCCTCACCTGTGCCCACTACTGCCCTCAGTGTCTAAATCAAACATTATATTATTAAACTAACCAAAATAAAGACTAAACATATTATAAAACAATTAACTAAACAAAAAAAACATTATCAAAATATGTATACATATACGTATTTCTAATATAAACAAAATCATAATAATAATCATTTAATTAACAAATTACCACTACTGAAAGCAAACTAATGTAGCTTCAACACTCCGGCCCTAATTGTGCATTATCACAATTACTGAACTCTCAAAACGGAGCTACATTATGTATTCTAAACATATCAGGCACAGATGTCTTGCCGCACCTGCAAAGAAAAGAGAAAGAAAGAGAATAGAGGCAGACAAAGAGAAAGAGAGAGAGTTCGTGTGATCACACCACCGCCTCCAGCAGCAGGCACAGCTTCGTCACAGGCCTCTCTAAGATGCTGGTCTTCGTTTGGAGCGGACAGACAGCGCACAACCCCTTTCACATCTGATCTGACATCCAAAACTTTCCCCATCATCCAGATCCTCTTGAAGCTGTAGCATCTGCCACAATAACAACATCTCCAGGTATAAGGTTTCTTCTTAGTGCAGTCCATTTTTGTCTCTGTTGCATCAATGGCAGGTATTCAGAATCCATCTTTTCCAGAAGAGTTCTGCCATGTACTGTATCTGCTTCCATCTTTTTCTGACATACAGATCATTTCTGTCAAACAATCCTGGTGGCATAATTGGTTTACCTTTCAACAACAGAATGTGGTTCGGCGTCAAAGCTTCCAGGTCATTTGAATCATCTGAGGCTCTTGTAATAGGCCTATCATTCAATATTGCCAACTTCGCAAAAAACAGTTTGGAGCGCTTCATCGTCCAGGGTCTGTTGTTTAAGGACTGAGGCAAGAACACTCTTCACTGAGCGAATCAAGCGCTCCCAAACGCCACCTTGATGGGAAGCTGATGGGGTGTTAAATCTCCATTCTATGCCGTCCTGAAGAAAGGCTCTTTGAATTTTACCATGGTTCAGAGCAGTCAGACTCTCCTTGAGCTCACGGCTGGCTCCAACAAAGTTGGTTCCGTTGTCAGACCTGAAAGTTGAAACTGGGCCTCGTCTGCAGATGAACCTTCTCACAGAATTTATACAGGAGTCTGTATCCAAGGTGTATGCTACTTCCAAGTGTACAGCACGGCTGGTCATACAGGTGAAGAGCACTCCGTATCTTTTGAGAAGACTTCTGCTTCTTTTAACTTCAATAGGCCCAAAATAATCAATGCCAACATGAGTGAAAGGGGCTTCATCAGGCAACACTCTTTCAGCAGGTAAGTCCGCCATTTTTTGTTCAAGGACTCTTCCTCTGTGGCGTCTGCAAACAACACAATCTGATATAACCTTTCTTGCAGCAGAGTTTGCATTTATAATCCAGTACTTCCGCATTAATCTGGACAACATATAATTTCTTCCAGAATGACCTATCTGCTGATGAATATGGCGCAGAATTAGTGTTGATATATGCAGGTCTTTTGACAGAATAGCAGGTCGCTTGGATTCCACTGGGAGTAAGGCTTTGCTTAACCGACCGCCCACTCTGAGAATCTCACCATCCATCACTGGGTCCAATCTATACAGTGGACTGTCCTTGGATATGGATTTCACACCACTCTGCAGTGAGGTAATTTCATCCTTGAACCGCTGATGTTGTACATACCGGATGATTGACAGTTCTGCCCTGGTCACATCTTGAGGTTTCAGACTCTGTCCTTGAGCGTAGCCTTAAAGCTCTGCATTTGACTTTCCACCTGTCTATGACAGCCTGTAATGTCCATACTGAGGTCAGCAGAGGCATAAAGCTCCTTTCTCCTATGTCCCAATAACACAAGAGTTTCCTTGATCTTAAGAAGCCAAGCTACAGCTACCTGCAATCTCTTCCAAGATGAAAAGTAATGAATCAGGTGGTCCATAGCATTGTCTGTGTCTTTAACAGCAGCATTCACTGTCAAGACCCTTTTGACCTCAGGGTCAGTGCCAGAAATCACCTGAAGGTCTTCATCTAATTTAGGCCACCCTTCCTTGGACTTGTAAAGGAAATCAGGTCCCATTATCCATCTCCTTCCATTCAGGAGATCTTCTGCCCTCATTCCTCTTGACGCTTCATCTGCTGGGTTTTCCTTTGTCCCCACATATCTCCACTGATCAATATTTGCCTCCCTGATGACTGCAATTCGGTTGGCCACAAAGGTATAGAATCGCCGGTTTTCATTTGATATATATTTAAGGACTGTTGTGCTGTCCGTCCAGAAAACTGACTTCTCCAGCCTAAGTTGCAACTCCTTCCGTAGCATGCGGTCTACTCTGACAGCAAGGACTGCAGCTGTTAGCTCTAGGCGAGGAATTGTTGTCTGCTTCAGTGGAGCAACTCTGGCCTTCCCCATCATAAATGCAACATGCACTTTATTGTCCCTTTCCAGTCTTAAGTAAGAGACAGCTCCATACCAACCTCGCTGGCATCAGAGAAGTGATGAAGCTGTATAGTGAGAGGGTTGCCAAAGTCATTAGGCTTAATGCAACGATCAATCTTGAACCTTGCCACCTTGTGGAGATCTTCCAACCAGCCAGCCCATTGCTTAGTGAGAACATGGGGAATAACTTCGTCCATCCTAGGTTTCTTTTACAGAGTTCCTGCAGTAACAACTTTGCCATCATGCTGAATGGAGCAAGGAAGCCCAATGGGTCATAAAGGGAGCTGACCACCGAAAGAATTCCTCTTCTCGTCCGTGGTTGCTCTTGTACTGAGGCCTTAAATCCAAATTGATCAGTCTCAACGTACCACTGTAGTCCTAATGTACGTTCAACAGGAAGTTGATCTGTATCCAAATCCAGCTCCATCATGTCTTTTGCTCTGTGGACTTCACTGACAGAGCGCAACACTGCACGACTATTGCTGACCCATTTTGACAGAGTGAATCCTCCCTTCTGACAGAGTGCAGTTAAATCCTGGATCATTTTCCTAGCTTCCTCTTCTGAGGCCATTGAACGGAGGCAATCATCAACATAAAAATTGTTTTTGACTGTACTCACAACTTCTGGAGAGAAGTGTTCTGCGTTGTCATCTGCAGTTCTCCTTAAGGCATAATTGGCACAGCTTGGCGATGATGCAGCTCCAAATAGATGTACCTTCATGCGGTATTCCTGCGGAGCCTGTGCAGTGTCACCACCTGGCCACCAGAGGAAGCGGAGAAAGTCAACTTGCTTATTTGAGACATGAACCTGGTGAAACATAGATTGGATATCAGCCACTATTGCAATAGGCTCCTGCCTAAATCGGACTAAAACTCCAATGAGGCTGTTGGTGAGATCGGGGCCTTGCAAAAGCTGACTATTGAGCGATGTTCCTTTGAATGAGGCTGCACAGTCAAAAACAACTCTTAGCTTGCCCTTCTGAGGATGGTACACCCCGTGGTGAGGGATATACCACACTTTCCCATGTTCTTTGTCAGCTGGTCAAGAGGAACTGGCTCAGCATGTCCCAGTGTTATTATTTCATTTAGAAACGTGGTATATTCCTCCTTAAAAACACTATTCCTGTCAAACTTTCTTTCAGGCTACATAAGCGCTGTTCTGCTATATGACGATTATCCCAGGGTTAAATTTTCCTGTCTGAATGGCAAATCAATGCAGTAATGACCTC